TTTTTTACACAGAGCCAGGTGGACAACTGTCATCTTTTGTAGCCTGGTTGTATTGAGCTTGTTTCAAGTAGTGAAACAAGCTTGTTTCCAGTTTTGGCTAAAATATTTTTCTTATGTAATTTGCAAAGTACTGTGCTATGTTGAAATGGCTAAACCTTCATCATCAGAGGCTGACGGGTGGCTCTGTCAGACATGCTGGGGTTCGTCTTATAAAATGTCTGACTCAAATAGATGTTGATTCAAATAACTTTTCATATTAAATACAAATGTCAGTAATCTTTAGCTTGTTAATGTCCAACTCACTCCTTATAATTATTGTGCTGATGGTTGTTCTGAAAATAATTCCAGAATTGAGTAGATATCAGCCCCTGTTAAGGCCTGATATCAATCTGAGTCTTACCTGTTCAAACCTTTAACCCATGTTTAATTTACTACTGGTTCCAAAAAATGGGTAGATGATGGCCAGAATGGAAAAACTCAGTTTGCCTGAAGGGAAGCCTACAAACCAGTGGGTAATGTGACAGTAGGTTTGTCAGCTTGTTTTATAGTCCCTTGGTATTCACTATATTTTTCCTTCTTATTCTTTTAAGATGTCGTCCTACGAGCTGGCTGAAGCTGGTGTTCTTTGTTTCGATGACTGCGTTGACTCTGCAGAATCTGACTGTTTCATTGACCTCGTGTCGGCTGGGTCTGCACGTGAAACTAAAGCTAATGCGGATGGGCTTTACAGTGACGCTCCAACGGTATCTGACAGCAAGCCAGACCTGCTGATGGAACTGAGAAAGGTTCATATCCTGGACGGGTTAATCATGGAAGAGAACTTGCAGATCAACAAGTTTCGATGCAGTAAAGAGAAACTCAACACTGAGCTCTCGGAGAGCAAACCTGTGGGTACAAATGTGTTACTGACTTCACGCAATGAGAGGGAGGCTTCACATTTGCAGCTGGAAAAGGAGAAGAGGGAGGTGGAGGAGCTGGAGAAACAGAATGAGGATATTGATGAAAGGTTTAAAAAATGTTCTATAACTGAAAGGCCTAGAAAAGAACATGATGATCGAGTGCTCTGTGATCTCTTTCCCAATGGTTCTGGAAGATCAGTCGCCAGCCTTGCCATGGATGGGTCTGTGAATACACGTGTGACTAAAATTATTCAAGATGTTTCAGACCTTAAGGTAACCAAAAGGGCTTCACCACAAGATGTGGCTCAACTGCCACTTTCCCAGTGTCAAGATGCTAGTGGTTGTACAACTGGTCTGTCAGTATATTACAAAATTACCTTGAACAATGTATTTGGTTTACAGGAACCCTCAGAAGAGGCAGGTGTCCAATCGCAATACATCGATGGGAATGAATTGGCCAGGTCTGCTAGTTTATGCAGTCCAGAAGCATCTTTAATCCCTGAAATGAGGGTAGATGATGGCACCTTTGACCCAGGTGGAAAATCACTCCTTCCCCCTGTAGCTAAGCCAAGAAAGTCTTTGCCTCCTGTGAATGAAGCCCGTGCTGAACTCGAAGCTCCTCACTCCACAGAGGAGTCCTTAGATCATTATTTTGTAGGTGAAGGCCAACTTCATCTACAAAACGAAGTACTTGAAGAGCTGCCAGAGAATGTGCCTCCAGACACCAGCCACAGCTTGGTTTCCAGTCCAAATGTAACACAACATGAAAACGATAACCATGTACCCCCAGAGAACTGTTGGGCATCATTACAGCGCTCGTCTGAAATAATGACTAAAAATGAAAAGATGCCCACATCTTTACTCAAACTACATGTGCAGTCAGCAGAGGAAATCCACACTTCACCTCCTGCAGATGACCACCAACTTGAACAGTCCGTATCCCAAGTGACTGCTGATCAGCCTCTAGAGTTTGACTCGGGTGGAAGAGAAGAACCAAATGAAAAGCTACCAGATGGTGTTCAGAGCTCTGAGGCTCTGAGAATCTCTGGGTCACCTGAAAGTCAGATCCAGTTTTATAGCCCCATGACGGAGGTACGTCGGCACATCCTACTTCAGCTGTCACCTTTTTGTCTTCATTTAGAACAGGGCTGCCCAATCCCAGTCCTCGAGAGCTACTATCCTGCAGCTTTTAGATGCATCCCTACTCCAACACAGCTGAATCAAATGGTTTGATTACCTCTTCAGCATGCCATCATGTATGGCAAAGGCCTGATAACAAGCCATTCATTTGATTCGGGTGTGTGGGAACAAGGATGCATCTAAAAGCTGCAGGACGGTAGCTCTCGAGGACCGGGATTGGGCACCTCTGATTTAGAACATCAAGTACATCTTGTAGTTAAAAGCCTAACATCAACATTAGTTTTTAGTTCTTATGAAAGCTTTCTCCCAACCCCAGGCTTTTAAATTGCTGTGTGCCATGTGTAACTGAGCGCACATACTTTGAATGTATGACTAAAATGTGGCTTATAGACTAAAGCGCAGGCCAGACTTGAAAACAAATAAAGTTGTAGTCACAATATAAACATAAAAGATCATTTCAGTGCTTTTGAACCTCTGGAATTTTTTTTTTTTTTAAAAAGGAAGAAAAAAAAAAGCTTGTGTCTGTATCTCTAGATTGCAGATTTCAAGAGTCCAATTGTACTGGATTCAGGCTCTGGTTTGATAAAGGCAGGATTTGCAGATCAAGACCTACCAAGCATTATATTCCCCACAATAATTGGGGTGCCAAAGTATGAGGTAAGTGCATTCGTTGTTAGACGCTTTGGATTTTAACTCGTAGGGGCCAACCTAAGGGACACATGTTTAAACATATTTATGGAGCGTTTCTTTTCAAAATATTTTCAGTAAATGTATTCTATAAATTGCCTTGGTCTTTGCATCCTTTGTCTGTTCATTGCAGCAGCCTCATGATGTGTGTTTATAGAGTTGGTTGGCATCTGCCTACAGCTACTTTGAGCTATAAGGAAAACTATGGGGATTTAAAGTGTGGGTATAAATATACTTTTTTTTTTTTTTTTTTTTTTGTGTCCTGTCTTTGCAGGAAGTACTGAATGGTAACCTTGAAAGAGAGGCCTACATTGGTCACGATGCAGAACACATGAGAGGGGTTCTGACTCTGAAGCACCCCATAAAGAATGGAATCATTCACAACTGGGATGAAATGGAAAAGGTGAGACTCATGTTTGCATAACAACTAGAAAATGGAAAAACTCATGTCGGAATCATTCCCCTTTAGTACTTAAATGTCACGTATATTGATGTGTCGTCTGGAACTCGATTACTGACTACAGGTTACAGCTGTTCCACAGACCCAGCTGGCTGAAGATGTTGGATGTCTTTTCCAGCAATATGAGGCTTTGAAAGAGGCACGACCCAAAGCCTTTTTGTTTGTAGTACTTGACATGTGAGGAAAATGTGTACATTCAGTTTAAAAACATGTTATTGTGGTCCTGCTGTGCATATATCCATAAATGGACTAGAAAACTTTACACTTAATATGCTGTTTTGTTTTGCTACTGCACGGGTTTTAATATTTTTACCCCTAAGCCATAAAAGGCTGAGGGGGTATTGTTGTCATCGTGTCAGGCCTGCGGGTGGCGTGTACACCCAGCTTTGTGAACACAGTAACCTGAGAATGAGGTAACATGAGGTGCAGCTGGTAGGAGGCTGAGCAGTAGCGATGGTGGCCGTCAGTATTTTTATCTGCTGTGTTAAACAAAGCGAGTTTACACGTAATAATGAAATGTGCTGTATAAATAAAATTGCCATTGGCATGTGGGAGAGTCGGTACAGCCTTAAAGGCTGCAAAAGTTTCATTTTATACTTGATCGTTACAGGTACATTTGCTCATCTATCATACAGTCTCTGCTGCTTGAAACTTGCTGGCAAAGTGGAAAGGCACAAATGGTTTTCTTATGTTCAAGTCTCAAATATAACAAATCCGTTCAGCAAATACCCTGGTTTTATCCCATCATTGGTCACACAGTGTATATGTGTTGATGCTGTCAAAAGCCTCACTTCATAGGAATATGTTCCTGAGGCTTAGAGGGCAGCTGCAGACCTATTTGTCCCTGTGGGTTAGTCTAGTTTGAATGTCTGTGTTTTGAGAACTCACCCACTTTGCAACTTCCCCACCCATTAACATGCTTCCCTCAAGAGAAATAAAGTATTGGTGGTTGTCCACAAGCTCATTTACTCTTGGTGCTTGACTTTTTGTCTCTTAGATCTGGCATCATACGTTCCAGCAGCTGCGTGTGGAACCAGAAGATCACCCAGTTCTTTTGACTGAAGCGGCCATGAACCCTCTGAAGAATCGGCAGCACGCGGTTGAGATCATGTTTGAGTGTTTCAACGTGCCTTTCACCTATGTAGCCATGCAAGCAGTGCTAGCGCTCTACGCAGCGGGAAGAACCACTGGTACTGTAGTCGCTCGTCTTCCCGCACTGATTGATGCACACGGATGATGGCTTGT